TTTTTCTCATGTAAATAAAAGAAAAGAAAAGATTTACACTTGGTGCACTGCAGACGCTCTACTACTTGTTCTTAGAGTGAAAAACCACTATGCTGCTGGCAAAGTGAAATGATGGCTAGATGTTTATGCATGGTCCTGAATGCGTGTCTGTACAGTATACTAATTTTTCAGATAAACATTTATTTCCCCTCATTTAAAAAAATTTAACGGAAATCAAAACTTGTGGGACTCCTGAGACTCGTTACACCAATGCATACAGTTCCACAGAAAGCTTGAAAAAACACCATCCGGTTTCTCAGTCATCAACTCATCATTGATCTTTGTTAATGTTGTGTTGTCAATCAATGACATGATGGACATGTGGGATTAAATCAATTTAACTTCGGAAATGAAGGGGAAAAACTCATAGCCTAACTATGAGTAAGAAAAAGTCAGATACATTGTTAAATTGAGACATGCCTTCTAATACAGACTGAAAAAAAATGCAAGTTTTTCCCAAGATGTGAATCTTGTAAGCTAATATATTAGTGGTGACATTTTTGTAGCAAGGGTTCCAAGATAGAAACTACTGTGACCAAGAAGAAAATCAGTTCCTCTATAATTGAACATATATTATAACAAAATTTGTGGGGATAAACATTTGCAATAACTTTAATCATCCCTGGGATTAGAAGCCCTTCTTTCCTCTTCTCCCATTTATAAAAAAGAGTTGCTTTTCACCAGTTTTATTTGAGTGTTGTCTGGAATCCAGGTAGACTCAAATAAGCCTAAACCAGGAAGACCCACTTGATGTTTCATGCATCAGTGATAATGATGCAAGTTCATTTTCCAAGGGCCTTTCCCTAATTTTACTTTCCTACCCAAGATTCCTACACTTTGTCATGATGATGACTTTTTGTCCCTCTCTACTTGTGACCATTTAAATACCCAGCCTAAGCTAGAAAGACTCAGAACTTGCCTGCACCTCAAGGAGTAATGTTCAACAGTAATATCAGTTGGTTAAACCCAAATCCACTGAGTTCTCAGACAACCTCTCTTGTCAAATAAGTTGATCTGGGGTATCTTGTTTGTTTTATATGTTTGTGAATGATTGCATTGCATATATATGTTGGTTTTTGTGCTCAACCCACAGTGCTGTTGAAGAAAGCACAACAAATTTGTGACAATGGAAGCAATAATACAACAGTATAATGAACAACAAATTAGCTGAGCAGATTTATTCTTCAGGTTGAGTTCAGTAGAATTTTTGATGCATGGTCTTGAGTTCATCGCAGCGGTCCCAGCAGCCAGTGCAGGAAGCAGCCACACAGGTGATGCAGCCCAGGATGTCACCAGCAGCACAGCTGAAGCCACAGGTCAGGGCACATTCCAGGCCAACACAGGTCAGGCAATCAGCCCAGGTGTCAAGCATCTGGACAGTTTCCTCAGGTGTGGGCACTGGCTTGGTGGCAGAGGCCAGCATGGCAACACACAGGAAAGCAAAAACTACTGCCAGGACCTTCATATTTCACTGCATTTTTGGATGAACAAAGAAAAAAATCATATAATAAACAATAGAAGACATACTGTATTTACTCAAGTACCATGGGCACCTTTTTTCTCAAATTTCAGAAGAAAAAAAAAAAGGGTGCATGCCATAAGCCAGTACAAATTTTTCAAGAAGTTTTAGGAAGTTATGTGTGCATAATACTTAATTATTATGGAGAAATATTAAACAAATGTAACAAGAAAACTTTTTTGTACTGACAAAGTTGAAAATTGATTCAATTTTTGTTCAATTCTTGTCTAAAGTCAAATTTTTCAAATTTATTTTCAAAATTTTGTGGTTTTAGATTCACTAGAAATTTGGGTGCGCATCTTACTCTGGTATAATATTTTAGCCAAATTTCAAACTGAAAATCCTGTGCACCCCTTACTTGAGGACATGTGTTACTCAAGTAAATATGGTGAATTCCAACAGAGACAACAACCTTGCTAATTATGGTGAGGTGGAGGGGTACTTTTAAAAAAATGACTTGGATTTGTGCATTCAAAGTGAACTGTTTATTTTTAGTCATAAACGGTTGATGGTTATTCTTTTTAGAACAAACCTGAAATCATAAAAACCAGCTTGCTAAATTTCAGCCGTAAAAAGTTTTTGTTCTCATATCCAAAGTAGTCCTGTATATCTTACCGAATGAGTCAACTTATTGACAATGGTTGCCTCACTTACAGAGTATTTATACCTTCAATCCTATTTTCAAGTTCAAAGCAGTTTCATCCAGGTCAGGTACTTTTATAGGTGTAATCATACAGCTTTTCTCGGATACAGAAACCGGATATTCATTCAACAATTAACGCAATTACAGTACGAAGCTTCAGTTGACAGGATTAAGTTTTCACTTTCTACGCGGGTTTTCGTCTAGCTGATAAACTTTATCTGGTCCACTGAATGTTCTAGTTCTCATCCGTTTGATCATCACACGCGTTATTTGAATGACTGATATCAACTGTATTCTTATAATGCACGAAGTCAGCAGGCGAAACATGCGTCGTTTTCTCGCAAAACGGATATGGGTCAATTTATGTCTCTTGTATATTGATGCGTATTTTGATGACATGACATTTTATCAACAATTTCCACGCCAAGATGTACGGAACATTTTGAAAAAAATACCGCATATAATTTATTTAAAAAATTATATGCATGTTACATTATATGCGAGCGAAAATGGTAATATATGTACATACTCATATAGTAAGAAACTTTACCTTGCCCAATTTCAAATGTGCATCAGCTTTGAGAACCTAAGCAAATAAAAATCAGAAAATTCAGAAATGTTCATGTTTCACCAGATTCGATAGAAAAACTCGGAACACATGACAGATACATACAAGGGTTCTAACAAAAGTTATTGTAACAAAAATTAAAATGGCATATAATTGACTTGAAATCAAATATTGTTCAGGGAAGACATATTCTTTGGCACAAGAAAAAAATCAGCCCTGTTTGACTAATTTTTTTGAATGTTTTGCAAAATTCACCCTGGCAGAGTTTCGCTCTCCACTCAAAAGATGAGGTGCCCTTCCTGCAGATTTTCTTGCTGTAGCCCAGATTTCTCCTTCAGAATTCTTGAAATCAAGGTGGCATTAATTCCAAGGGTTGCCTCATCCAGGTCTTCCAAGGTAATTCCGTCATTTTCATCAACAGCCCTCACAGCAGCCAATGTGCCTTATTCCTGCTCTGGAACCCAAAGTACACTATGCCCTGCGCAGATGTTACTGTCATCTGGATCTACCAGAGTTAATAAAAAACAAATTCAGCAATGTTTCTGCAAGCATGTTTCACACAAAAAAATCAGTCCCGCATAAACTTCCACAACATGCACAGAAAAAACAGTATCCATTGCTGGTCATCATCAAGATATCCTGACAAAAAGACAAGACCATAGGAATGACACTGCCTTATTGAGAAATTTAAATAACTTCTTTAGTGTAATTCAAACCAAAGTTTAGAACTGTTCTTGGTTTCTATGACAAACCTGGATGTCATTTCATGATTCCAAACCTGTAACTCTATGCTCTATATGAGACAAAAAAATGTCCTTTCAAAATCCTGGCCCATAGTGGTGTAGGAATCTCCATGCCTCTTTAAAACTCATTCTTTTCAATTCAAATAATTACTGACAGCTGGATTGTGACTCACAAGTCACAACGCTATTGGAGATTCTGCCACTGGTTTCAGCTTTCAGTGCCACAGCAGTGTCTGATGAAACCTTGGAAATTAAAACCTCTCACTCATCCTAAATTTATCCTTGCATCATCCACAAATGAAGGTTTACCATTTGATCTCCAATTTCTGCAATTCATAAATCCATGAGGTAATTCCAGAGGATACTCAGTATCTAGAAATTCTGTACTAGGATTAAACTCTGATGTGGTCAACTATTACTTGAGGATAAACATGAGTAAATGAAAATATTGGAAGTGAGTGTGCTTCAAATGCTAATAAATTAGCCTTTTGATTATATTCTTTTTCCCATAGACATCAGCACTTGACAATGTTTTCTAGCTTCACCAAAATCAATTCATTGGCCAATGCATCACCAGAGCACCATCTTTTTTCATGCCCAGAATTCCACAGTGTTGCAAAAATGGGTTTCAAGAAGACTTTGGACTTTACATTTGATGGAATAGCTTTTTCCAAAATCTTCGAGAACCAAGATAAACTGTTAGATTTTTAAAATTTCTCCTCAAAGATTATCTCCAAATTGTTTAATCAAACAAAACTTTTCTGGGAGCAGGCTGAAAACCTATTGTGCTTCAATTTGGGTTTGTCAATTGCATTATGATGTTATTGTCATTACTGATGTTTCCTTTTTGTAATTTAGTGAGGTGAACAACGTGTATTTTTTTACAGCCATTGTGCATTTGTACATTTTATAATGTATTTCCATTTCCTTTGATGCTCCAAAAACAGCTTACTTTCCTATTTTAATTTTGATGTGATGGAATCTGTCTGGATGAATGTGAGTGGGGAGAGGAGGGGGTTTGAATGTGGGAACATTGTTTGAACCTGGTGAATCCCAAAAATCAGAAAATGAAATTTGTTCATCATTCAATTATCTAACAAAGCTATCCATTATTTTGTGCATGGTTTGAATTACTTCCGGGTTTTGACTGGAAGTGGGTTGCAAATTTGTATGTCCTTGTCCAAAACAAGGACCCATTATATGTGTCTAGAAGAGATGGCTTTGAACATTTGTCAACTACAATAATTTCACCCTTCAAATACTCTAATAGAGTACTGTACTGTATTTACTGTACTGTACTCTGTTTGGCCTCCAAAAGCAGAAGTAGAATAGTTTGCATGGTTGTCTCCTTATTCTCATTTGGCTCTGATCAAAATCAAGGACAATGTATAAATTGTGGGCACACAAAAAGTGCGCAATATCTGCAAGCAATAACCTTCTTTTCGGTTCTCAGGAAACTACGTGACGAAATAAAATCAGCCACAATGATTCAAGAATTCACGGAATCTACATTTTTCTTCCTTTCCACAAAAAGCGCAGTTATTGCAGCGAAAGAATAAAAACAAGCATGTTTTCGTTTAAAGTTGATGTATTTTTTGTTGTTGTTGGTCAATTGCTGTAAATGGTATCAAGAGGGACTTCAGTAGAACTTGTTGTGCATGGTCTTGAGCTCGTCGCAACGATCCCAGCAGCCAGAGCAGGAGTCGGTGACGCAGGCGATGCAGCCGACGATGTCGCCACTGGCACAGCTGAAGCCGCAGGTGAAGGCGCATTCCAGGCCGACACACGTCAGGCAATCAGTCCAGGTGTCGAGCATCTCGACGGTCTCCTGGGTGGTGGGCACGGGCTTGGTGGCAGAGGCCAGCATGGCGACGCACAGGAAAGCGAAAACTGCGAGGACCTTCATGTTTTCTGGATGGATCAGGATTTCCAAAAAAGAAAATGAATAACAATTAAAATACATATAAGAATATTGAATCAATTGAATAAATTCCCTGTATTTGTCCAGGTGGTACAATGAGACCCACCAATGTGTACATACTTGGTGCATCAAGAATGTCCTTAAATTGAATTGTCCCTGAGTCAAGACTTTTTTTCCTGTACACTTACATTATTTAGTTTTTAATTGGTGTCTTATGGAAGAAATATTCCTCAGAATTCCATGAAAAATTTTGTTTGCCACTTGAATTTGATTCAGTGAATATCTTTTCAACCCAATAAGAACATTTGGAGCATTGAATAGTATACTGCTGTACAGTTTATTGAAATGTTGGCATCTGTAAGAGTAACATCTGTCACAAAGGGAGAAGTCCCTCTGGGTTATAAGTAATTATTTTAATTAGCTGAATGGATGGAAAAGTGCTGGGAAAAGTACCAGAGAATTTCTCTGGCATTGATCTTAGGGTCGGAAATACCCGTTTCTTACATTTCAGCCTGATACTGTAAAAATCAATTTTCCTAAAATGTATTGGCAATGTTATCATGCAATATCATAAGGTTGAGTCAATCTCCATGTTTTGGGCCTTTTTTATGATTATTTATTGAAAGATAAATGTCCTTATGGCAAAATGTCTACAAGTTGAGGTGTCTGCATGTGGGGGTCTCACTGTATTTTGCAATTCAACATCCTGAAATTTGGCCATTCTGAAATTTGATAGTCAAATTAGCTACAGGAGTTTGATTTGCAATTTGACCTCTGCCCCACAATTTTACCCACTGAGAGACTCAAAATATGTCTAATTTGATGCATAAAACATCCCATTTTACATTTTCTTGCAATTTGACATCTTCACAATTTGAGCCTAGCCCAGCAATTTATTAGGATGAGATTGAAAGGTACCACCTGTACTTAAGTACCAACCATACTTGTGTGTGATGCGCATCTTAGTTTTTTGCATGAAAATTGCCCACAAACGTATGTCCACATGACATGCACAACCCAGTTTTACATCAAATTTTGTATATGATTATATTGAAAAAAACAACCAACCATTAAATGAATATAAGAAGAGGCAGCATTTCAACTAAATTTGAGCATCATAAAATTCCTTTTCCAATATTTTCATTTATTAAGTGCTGGTGCATGAAAGGCTTACACAATTAATTTCATAATTTTTTGGTCCAGATAATTCATTCACACACCAGGTTCATCCCACTTTCCTGTCTTGACTTTGCATAAGAAATTGCGCACAACTTTTTTCTGCAAAATCAAGGCAGAAAACTGGTACACGGGTATATAAAGCCTTAAATTATATAAATCTATAATGAATTGAAAAGGAATAATTTAGAGAATGAAAGACCAAAGTTGCAACAGATGATGATCCACTAGTGCAGCAATGAAAAAAACCACGTTTATTTCCAAATAAGTAATTTGAACTTCAGTTGTTCCAACTTTCTATGGGTATTCAATTATGGAATTCTGATTTCTGACACATAAAAAAATGAAAACTCAGAGCAAAGCTCACCTAAAGTTGGGATTGGTTTGGCGTAATGTTGCTTGAAGCTCAAGTTTGAATATTTGTACAATTCTTAACTGAAGTTGACAGTCATTTCTTCCCTGCTTTTATACCAAACGGCTCTGCTAACTTTTCAAGGTAACCCTCATTGGAGATAAGCTTAACCGGATGTTAAAAATATTTCGAACGTTTCGGATCGTTGTAATCTTAAAACAATATTGTTGCATCGAAATTGATACGGTTCCGGCAAGTTAATATCCAGGATTTTTGATATGCGGATATGCCTACCTCGTTGAATTAAAATATAAGATATTTAGAATTCAAGCATTATTGAGGATTTTTTTTTTGAAAGAAGACAGGAGAATGACAGCTGATATTATTTTCCAATTAAAAGTATCACACTACCACTCCGTTTATAGTGATGAAATATGAGCGGATATTCTTGACAAAATCCAAAACTATGTAGATTCTAAACCGTTCAAGAATTTTGAAGCTGCTAACCAGCACTTCGTATATTTCATAAAAAGCTGAAGAAGTGCTTCAAAGAAATATTTTAATTGTTGAATCAATTTCAGAAGGTAATGTTGTCTTAGTCGTCTTACAGAAAATAGAGAGTCGCATTCCTTTTCATGCCCAACATACAATAATGGGTCTTCCCAAATCTTTTGAGCATGGTTTTAAATATTTCCAGGTAGAACAAATTTTGGAGTTGTATCTACTGAATATGGTTGAACATCTTGGAGGCCAAAGTAATTGAAAGTTCAGCAGTACTGTGCTTAATTGCAATCAGATAGAAATGATGAATATTCAGAACTACAGTAAAATATCAATACAAAAATATCATTACTTTTGAGGGAAACTTGTTAGAGTAAAAAAGGTTTTCCCAAGTCGCAGCAGGAAGCCATAGTAAATTTGAAAACAATCTCTATTCTGTATATGAAACTTCTCAAGTTTAGGAAAACAAACTTTCTTTGGAATTTTTGATGGATTCTTCAGGTGGAAGTTGACAACACAAATGTGACTCAATGGTTCTTATATATAGCAGGGATGGAAGCAATAAAAAACATGCTGCCAAGTGGTTCCAGGCATACCCAGCAAATAATTTGGGCGTTTTGAAATGCGTTTTAAATGCCTTTCTAGCCAAAAATACTACGCATTTTGTATCTCTCTATGTTATGCCTACTTGGGATTTTATTTAATGCGTACCTTATAGGTGTTTTGAAATGCCCTCTAGTTACAGCTAGGTATTCAACCAGGCAGGCATGATGGAATATTTTTTCAAGTCATTAACTCTTCCACCAGTACCACCACAAAGGGTCATTTTCCATGGTGGAACTTTCACTGAAAGTCTGTTTCACAGCATAGAGTTGAGCTATCCTTAGTTTCCATCTCTTTGCCCAGAATTTAATGAATTGTTAACCAGCTTTTAGATACTGAGTGTCTCAACAAATGAAAGAGGACAAATTTGATGAATTCAAAACAACAGTAAGCATGGGATGGGCTGGGAGCCTCTTTATTGATGCTCCAAAAAAGTGTTTGTTCTATTATTGTCCCAACACAGAATTCACCAACTCTGTCAATTTTTAAGATCATAATCACACAAACACAAGGAAATCATGCAAAGTCTCATTAATAATCTATGTAAGGTTTTTAGCTCTGATAAGTTTGAGAATTGGCAGTGGAATGAATTCTGAGTTTTGGTTTTTGGGAGGAAGAAGGAAGGTGAGGAAAGTGGTTTTCCTTTATTTGGTTTTTCTGTGATTCTGATTGGCTTTGGGAGGCAAATTCAACAATGGTAATCTTGTGGTGTTGTACTGCAGGTTTTGGGATTCATGGGAGGCAAGTTCTTTGGAGCTGGGCTCTCTATAAGCACCAGTTTCCAGGATGTGGATGAATTAACTAGTATTTAATTATAGTGGCCCTCTGCCTAACAAACCTCTGTATAAGGAATTTTTGCCTAACAAACAAGCTCTGCAGGCAGTTTTTGCTCCTGCCCAACAGACAAAATCAGCCAGACTTCTGTTGGTTTAAAATTTGTGTTGACAATTAGAGTTATAATTTTTATATAATTCATTTTGTTTAACTCTTGAGTGGCAAAGCTGGACCATTTCTGCAAAATTTTGTTGCACCTCAGAGAGGGCAAGAAAAAAATGTCAACATGGTATTAAGGGTAAATTTGGGAAAAATCCCATTGTTTTTTTCTTTGGGCATAGAAAATGTTTGTGGGAAAATTTTAAAAATTCTCAGTTAGGCTACCGGCTCTTTTTGGATTTATCCCAACTTTGCCTCAGCCCACCGCTGGAAGGGTTTTCCTGACCTTTGAAAATATGAAAATGTGGGAGGATACAAAAAGAATCAAACTCTGTCCTGCTATGGGAAAGAACCCTCTGCTGTCCAAGGGTTGAAGAACTTCTTGTCTAACAGCCTTGTCCATTGCATTTATTAAGTCCATTAGATGGGGGTTGACTGTAAAACTATGCTCTACATTCCCCAGCAGCTGCCCAAGAGAAAACCATGTGGTGTGCATCAAAATTCACGATGTGGTCACCTGTGTGTCTGATGCTGCCCAGAATTCATTATGGAAAATATGTCCCATTCACTGTTTTTCTATCATTAAATTTTTTTTCATACATTTCAATGAATACCTTCATACGGTCTCGTAATTTTCATTGTTGATAAATTTGACTGCTATACATGATGTGTTTGTATATTGTTGGCTTTTTCTTCTTACTTCATCCTGAAGTGTTTTGGGAAGAATGATGATCAGGGAGGCGAAAATTTACTCAAGTCTAAAATAAATGTTCCTTATCATAACTTCAGTGGCACAAGCCTTATCAACTTTCGGAAATTCAATAACTAATATATACTTGAATACGTTCAACTTAATTCATCACTTTTGACTCTCGAGTCTGGACATGTTTTCATGCGTAAAATGAGACTGCAGTTTCGTTTCAACAGAATTATTGAAGGTCATTTTTAAACTGCATCGGAAATTAAAACAGGTATCCTGAAATAATTCATTGATTCATTATGAATCCTCCGAGGGATTTAAAAAATTTGTTTCTCTCAGCCGTTTCCAGTTTCTTAGATTTTGCACAGTTTTTCAATACCGTCGGCTTTTTATAAAGGGTTACAAAAATCTTTATAGGCTTATCTTTGGAGTAGTGATAGGAAAGATGCTAATTTTGAGCATACTCAATCTAGACCATGATAACAGGTTTTTTTTTTTTTCAAAAGATTTGAAAAAAATGCCAGGCGCGGAAGTTTACTGGTGTTTCCAACTGATGAGTTCCTATTGCTTACACAGTAACTGTGAAACAGGTGTGATAACGGAATTTGAAAAGAGGCCTAATCCGGCTTTAGTAGGGAGTATAAATCATCCTATCAGTCGACTCCGGGTTTCAGACAGTAGCTTGAGTTTAGTGAACCAGAAAACTTCGCCAGTCGTCGTCACAACCAACCAAATTCTCCATATATGTAAGTTCTTTTCACAGGATCTCGTCACAATTCTTTGCACATTTTTTTTTAACTGAACATAAATTCCAAATCTTGCTGATGGTCTTGTCTCATAATTTTTTTTTTGCATTCTCAGAAAAACTTGGCAATTCATCCTTCATTCATTTGTGTGTACTGTGATGTATTTTCTTTCAAAAAATGCACAGGCACTGTATAATGAAGTTCTTTATGCCAAGATGAGTTGAATAGATGGGTGGGAGGATGTCTGAAATTTGTGTGCACCTTGTGAATGCTGACAATAAGCAGCAGAGAAATCATATATGTCAAACAAATGTGCCATTCGTTTGATATTTTGAAAAACTGTATATTAAAACAGTTATAAAAAATTAAGATGTGGTTCAAGTGTTTGACTGCCAGTCTCTGATATTCCCATATATATTCACATCTGAGTTGAATCTTCCATCAATTAAGAGCCAGCAGCACACTGAATGATGAAAATCCTGAATGATGAAAATATATTTTTCTCATTTCTGTTTCTTGTGCTTGAAAAAAAAAAGCATGAAGGTCCTTGCAGTCTTTGCTTTCCTCTGTGTCGCCATGGCAGCCGCCATGACACCATCCCAAGAGGAGTTGGTGCAGCAGTTGGACACCTGGGCTGACTGCCTGACCTGTGTTGGTGTGGAGTGTGCCCTGCAGTGTGGCATCACCTGCGTTTCTGGTGATATTGCTGGCTGCTTGGCCTGCATCTCCAGTGGCTGCCCCATGTGCGATGCCCGCTGTGATGAACTGCTGCCATTCAATGAGAAGTACTTGTAAGCAGCAGATACATCATATATGCAGACGACCAAATTGCAACTGCTTTTTCGTGCACCTTATGCTGCCAAAATCAATCAATAAAGTCTGGATGCCAACTTTGTTTCATGATTGCATCATTCATTGTATCAGCATGTGCTTCCATATAGTTGACCATTTTTCACCTATCATGATTTTCATAATCTAATGGCTGTGGTATCCATGCTGACTTCTATAATCCAACAGATAATTTAGACTGGTTGTCTTCATGAAGATAGTTATGTAGCTGGAATTCAACATTGTAAGCCCTCAGTAGTAGTTATTTATGTTGATCCTATGCTTGGAATGCAACAAAAATACCACTAATGAGGATTTTTTCATTTTAAGGCAATATTTCCTGTAGGAGTAAACAAATATTACACTTGCTTTTCATTTCTCATGGGCATGAAATTTTGCAAAAATAGCCTGCCTGTGCCACACAAGGGTTGATGACTAGTTATAAATAACAAGTGAGAACATTGGAGATTTTTAGCAGTACAGTGGTGTATAAATCAAAACATGGATACAAAGAAAAATACACAGTAAACAAAAAATCATTCCTAGTAAAGAATGTCAAAGCAGTCAATAATGCTGCTTTCAAGTCAATCATAATGAATAATAGATAATATCACACGAAATGGAACAAAAAAACGCTGTCATCACAACGGAAGGTATGACATGGGAGATAACAGGGATTAATCAGCATATAAATAGACACAGTGGACACCATTTGTGGTGGTTCACATGATGGAAACTTCAATCCACTTTCTGTAGTCCATTTCCCCCACCTGTAATACAATTTTTAAAAATGGAGAAATGACATAAAAATGTCCAGCTCTTCTTAAATGTAGGTGGCATTTACACACAAATCAACTTATCGATCTGCTCACCTCATTGATATCAGTCACCAAAGATATGGGCAATTCGTTCTTTACTGCTACTGTTGTGCTCACAGTTTCCACATGGCATCAAAATTTCTTGGAAGATGACAGAAAAATATTCCTGAGAACCCGCATTTTGCAAATGGACAAAATAATACAATATAAATTGAATGCAAACGATTTTTACATATGGTCTATATTGATGCAATATTGTCACACTTCACAAGTTGATGAGACTTCAGAGAACGCCAATTTTTTTGAAGGGATATCTTCCAATCCAAACCTTGTATAGATTTCCATATTTTATAATTCAAAATCCAAGAAAGGTATGCAAATGATTTTCAACTGCATGGACTGCACATATTTTTTTTCATTTTGAAATATGTGGCTTTCTTACTTGCTTCCTATCAAGCACTTGAGTCATTGTCTCATTAAATTCCCCCTTTATCATCACCCCTTTGCAAATCATTAAATTTGATTTCTCCATTACATTTTTTCAAATGAACAAATGATCTAGCTGATTTATGGCTGAGATATTTGTTCATTCAAATTGACAAACTCCTGATTTAAATTTTGAATGAACATTTCATCAATTTTAAAAATGGATTTGTATTAAATTATTGTCAAAAGGTTGCTCTTATCAGGAAACAAGTTGAGCCATATATGGCAGAAACCAATGCAACATTTCCAAAATTTTCTTTTTGAGGCTGCAAAAATGATTTCAAATAACCAAGAACACACTCTATTAAAAT